TTAGGGTCAGAAACCTGTTGTTTTTTTTTTTTTTTTTTTTTTTTTTTTATAAGCATTGTGATTTAAGAGCTTTAAAAAATCCTACGACATTTAAAAAATGATTTTAATAATTCTCTTTGTTTTTGGTAAAACTGTTAAGGCAATTCCAGTCCATCTAAGCTAGAGAAGAATATAGAGATGAATTGTCTGAATGGCTCAGGCAGAGGAGGGGGTCAAGGCACCTCGGGTGGCGGGGGACAGTGGCAGAAAATCTCATGGACACAGTGTTGCAGGATAAAACGCCAGCTGGGTGTGGCAGCCCTTAGCTGTACAAATGTCCACACTGCCTCTGACATGCATAGAGAAGGTGAGCTGTCAGAGGGAGATCAGGGTGATAAAGTAGACTTGCTTGTCTGCAAGCCCCACCCTAAGGCCCGTGTTTCTTCTCTGCTGGGCACCTCATTCTGTTTTTATAAGGGAGAAGATCCCTTTCCGGTCCATGAAAGAAACATCCTTGTCCATCTGCCTCCAGAAAGACACAACGGAAGTGAATCAGATGCCATCCAGGAGAGACAGAAAATCAGTCCACACCAGTCGGGCTGTTCTCTCTTTCGTTGAGTGGGGTTTGTTTACACTCCCAACATTCCTTATAACACTGAATCCGAGGTGTTCTCAGAAGTACCATCGTGCATGAGCTTTGGAGCCAAACAGACCTGGGTTCATATCTCAGAGACTCTCAGTAGCTATGAAGCTCCCAGCAAGTTTAATTTCTCTGAAGAGTGTCAGTCTTCTTATTTACAAAATGAAAGTAATAGTACCAGCTTTCAAGATAGCTGTGAGGGCAGAACATAAGAATGTAAGCATTCTTTTGCCCTGAAAAAGCACTTGGTAAATGGCAGCTTTGCTTCATGTTACTATGCCACCATGTTTGCTGCAGGGGGATTTTAATTCGTTTCAGGCCACAGTTTGCTCACACTTTGTCAGCAACCTCAGCTGTCTGGTTTTGTGACACTCATGTGGCCATCTGATCCATATTCTTGGCAACCTCTGC